CAGCAGCCAGCTGGCTCTGAGGTTCTGGTGGGTATATCTGTTATTTTCACCCTAGGCGAAAACAAGCACTTAACCCTTGCAATGTGGGGGTAGCCCCACAATTTTAAACGGAGTTATTCTTTTAAGAATTATTTTAAAATATTTTTTTTACATCCAGCCCACCCCCTGCCCCTATTCTTGCCTAGGCAAAAATGACATGTCCATGCTCCTGCAGCATCCCTGTCAAATATTCCAGGCTGGAGTGTGGACCTGGTGGTCCATCATTGGAGGGGGGCAGGTGCAAGTTACCGGAGGAGACAGCCAGCTGATGATGATGGAAGGAAGATGGCAACCCAACATGAGCAGAGGATTGCAGCAGGACATCGCTGGATTCGCAGAACGTGCGAGTATGTTTTTTGAAGTTAGCCAAATCTTTTTTTTTTCTTGTTTAGTTATGGGTGCAGCTGTGAAGGGTTGGAACCTTTGCCCAGGTTTTATTACCGTCACCTAGGGAGATTTCCACTACTTCCTCTTCCTATTCAGTCACCTGAATAGGAAGTGAGAGAAAACCTCCATGGTTTAGACAACGATACAACTTGTGAGAAATGGAGGTAGGAAGAACTGTATCCAAATGTCACAGTCAGAATAGAAAAGCTATTGAAGTGTACAAGGGCATGAAGAAACCTCTAGGGGGCACTATGGGTAAAACAAAAGAGTGCTTTTCGGGGATTCTAGCGGACCCCCTTTGCAAACAGCTGCTGGGGCCTGTTCTTAATACTGAGATTTTATTGTTTGTAATTTTAATTTATTTACATCTGAGACCATTTAAATTCTTACCAGCAATGTTGGGCCCCAATGATCCCTAAATCATGTTGGCTTGTCTTTTTGATCTGCCATGGAAAAATAAGGGCTCTCAGGGCTGGTTCACACTAGCCATCCATACTGAATGCATGATTCCTGTTGTGCGCTGCAGATGCGCCAAACTCAGGGAATCTCACTTTTTTTTAATTGAAATGTCACACTAGGCAACACACTGCGCTGAAAAAAGTACTACATGCAGTATACAATGCTTTGGTGTGGACTAATGACATTGAATACAATTGCAAGCAGGGCCGAAGTTCCTACAAGGCCACCGAGGCCCGGCCTCGGGGCAGTAGGGGTGTGGCATTCCTATCTCTCGACGCCCGGGACATGCAGTTCCTGGTGCCAGGCGGGTAGTTTTCTTTCTAAATTTAGCCCTGCTTTGGGCAATAAAGAGAACCTGTCACCTCCAAATTCTATTACACAGGGGCTTGTTAGCTCCTGTGTGATAGCAATAGAGTTAAGTGAAAAAAATAAAATACAAATTGATAAACAAATAATAAAATAAATACAAATAAAACAATTTAAAAAATAAGAAGAATTCAAATAAAAAGTGATTAAAAAAAGTAAAAAATAATCAGATTAAAAAATAAAAAAGTAAAAGATAATAAGATAAATAAAAAAGTAAAAAAATAAATAAATACAAATTACAAAATTAAAACAAGTGGTAAAAAAAAAGAAAAAAAAATTGAAACCAACCCTGCTGCCCCCACCATCTGGTTGCCATTCTCCATTGGGGGGGTGGGTGGTTTAGTGGGCAGGGGAGCGCATTGAGTAACCTTGGCTTGGGGCAGCAGAGAGAGTAAATCCGGCCCTGATTGCAAAGTTGCCAGTGCAACTCCAAAGCATCTGGTGTGAATGGCCATTGGAAATAAAGAAAACCTGTGCTTTGCCAATGTGGGACAAATCAACAGGTTTGCTTTAATGCCCCCCTGCTGGGCAACACATTTACGTTTACTTTGCTTGACCCTCCGTCACTTTGTTCATTTACCAGGAGAAAGGAAAAGTAATCCTGTGTAAGTTCTCAGTCACGCAAGATGGAGTAAGCGGCTCTATCCCTTTCCTAAACGTATACTGCACTGGATCAATGCAGGTCTCTGCTAGGACATGTGGAAAACCATTGTTTTTAATGTGCCCTGTTCACACCACAATGTGGGCGTGATGGGCAGTGTGCTGCGAGAAAATGCACCATGCAGCACACTGGATGGCACAATAGGTCACCACATGATCTTCCTTTAATAAATAGCAGTGCCTACTGCTCTCTACTTCTGCAGAGTGACTGGTCTTGTATCCGTCCCCTCCTGTAGTTTTCTTCAGGCAGCCTGTAATTGTTGGAGCCTGATGGGCCCCTCCCACAGCTCTGCCCTGTGCACAGACTATGGGCAACACAGTCATGATGTCACTGCTACTTTTAAAGGTAATAAGTCAGTTTGCAAAGGCATTTTGTGTACACAAAGTACATTTATATCCTATGTGACTATTTAAGAATATTTTCAATCAAATGTTTTTTTGCTTGGATTTCAGCTTTAAGAATAATTTTTCAAGTGACACTTTGCACAGCCCTTAGGACTCCCTCTATGCCCCATGTGATAGCACTGGGCCAGTTATCAATGCTGTAGCATGAGAGGATAGGGAGTGAGCCACATTCTCCTCCATACTCAAAATACCATGGGTAGGGATTTATCAAAGCAGACAGAACCTGGAGCAGTGTCCCATACTTACTAATCGGCTTCTCTCTTCAGTTTGTTCAGTTAAAGGAAAACTATGAGGTGAGTGATTTACACTCAACCCCATAGTTAGAGCTGACATGTGACACTGAAACTGTCACACGTCGGCTCTATTGATCGGGAAGTGAGCGAACACATACCGCCGATCCGCTCACTTCCCTAAGAGGGAGGGGCGGGCACAGCTGGCTCTAGATAGGCAAAGCCAGCTGTCAATCAGCCAGCTGGGTGGATCTAGACAGTATTGTCGGGATCCATCCCAGCTGCAGAACTCTCAACATATATCGGGCAATAGCCGCTATATGCTGAATTTTGGGTCACGGCAAGACACAGTATATGACCCTGAGGAGAACTATGGAAAAAAAGTTGCCCCATAGTTCTCCTTTAAGCTTTGAAAATGAAAGAAAGAAGCTGATTGATTGCCATGGGCATTTGCTCCAGATTTTGTCTGCTGCAGTCTTAGTAAATTCCCCTTCAGGTATTTTGTTTGCTCCTGGCAGCCAAGAGCACTAGGGGATTTAATGGAAAGGTATGTACCATGGAGTAGACGGCAACAGTGGGGGGAATGTTTAGCAGTAAAATGAACCTGTTGCTTTGTCCTGCATGAATAAAGCTCAGGTTTGCTTTGAATATTGGGTGGACATGTTCTTTAAATTAGCTCTCAATGTTGCATAAAGTACCCCAGGGCATAAAGGACTTCTGCTCCAGAGCCCATTAGGCATAATATTGCCCAGCTAAATACACACACACACACACACACACACACACACACACACGCACACACACTCTATATTAGCCCACAATCTTCCATACATTATTTTAATGCATGGAACGGCTACTGGTGCCCCATGCTTCAAGCTCTTCATGTATGCAAGATTCCAGTTGCACTGTGAGAACAGCTTCATGGCATGCTTACGCATGCAATGACGCCTGCAATGATGTCATCTCACTCCTAGGCCTGGATATAGGAAGCTAAGCATCTGGGCTATACCAATGCACTTTAAAACCACAAGT